GATTCTGATTGGATAGATTATTCAAGCCAATAGCTGAAATTGGTTAAATTCGTGTCTTTTTTGAATAACTTCTTGAAACATTTACTGATTTCTTTATTCCTCCCGCATTGCTCCAGGAGACTATGTTTAGAATGCTCATTCTGGACCCCTATGTAGACAAAGTTTATTAAAATGTACCTAAATGTAAAAGTATAATTCTTCTGGATTTTCCCAGTGTACATTTCCTATTGTGGTGAGGGCCATTGAAAGTTGTTCATTTTCTATAGTCAAGAGACTTGCCACAATGAGATTGTGCCAAGCTCTAATGCATTTAATGCTAACTGGCCTTCATTTCACCTTGAACAATGCCCAATATGTCGAAAGGTCGGCCAAAGTCGATGAATCCATCCCTCCAATCTTACGGCTAGTGTCCGAATCAATCATCGTAACAACTCCATCTGTCCCGAGGCCCTCGGCAGTACAATTGTCATCGGGTTTGTGTCCGATCGACGATAATCCTATTGCATTTTTCATTCAAAGTTATATTGATCCCGCCGTGGCATTATTCGGTGTTCCTGCCAACATCCTCACGATTATCGTGCTGCGATCAGATAACTGTGTGTCAACCACACGCTATCTGATGCTTTCGCTGGCAGTGGAAGACCTACTACTGATTGTTGTCTACAGCCTCTACTATATCCTACCAAAGCAAGTGGAAGACCAGTTTCGATATCTGCTTAAGTTTATTGATAGTCCACTTCAATTTCTGGTAAATTGGGTCAAGTTTGCTGAAACCTACACTATTCTCCTCATAAGCATTGACCGCTTTCTGGCTCTCAACTTCCCACTCAGAGCGGCCGTCACCTGCCGAGTGTCCAACGCTCGTCGTGGATTGGCAGCCACCTGGATCCTCGGATTGCTCATCAAACTGCCGAATCTTGTTCTCGACTACTGTCGTATTGGTCCCAACGATCCGTGCATGCACTGTCAACCAGTCTTTCTCAACACAACATGGTACAAAGCCTTCTACGTCGGCTATGTAGAAATCTTTGATCAGATAATTGCCTTTCTGCTGCCACTTTTTTGTTTGATAGTAATGAACAGTTGCCTGATTTACCAGCTGCGTCGCATGAATAGGATCAGTCTGCAAATGTTGGGTGAAGTCGAGAAGGTTAGCAGCCACAATTTTGGTGGAAAATACGCTGTTGGCAAGAACATAAGGAAAGGTTACACTGACGAGGCTGCTGACAAGCCCAGATACGATATTCTTAGAAGAGTTCAGGGCAGAAGCACACTGGCCATCAGAGAGTGCCCAACTAAACACAAGTCTCCTACCTTGCTGAAGTTACGATGGGACTCAGAGCCAGCTTCAGTGGAACCGGACAGCACACAGACGAGGGTCCCTTTAATTGAAGTCGCTTCTTCTCGGCGGATAACAGCTGGCCAGAAGTCGATGGGTCGAGCTCCAAAGCATTCTTCGCGACGATACCAACAGCATCGAAACATTTCAGCTACATTGATCTGTGTTATCACGCTATTC